GATTTAGGACATTTTTGTGGAAGTTATTGTAGTTGTACAAAGCTAGTGCAGATATCGTTGGAACGTTGAGATCATGGTGTAGGGATCTGTTACTTACATACCATGGAGCGTTTGTGAGGAGACGAAGGTTTATGGATTGGAAAGCTTGGAATATTTTCAGGTTAGACATTTTTGTAGAGCCCCATAATTGGATACCATACGTCATTGCCGGGCGTATCAATTGTTTATAAATTAACATTTTGTTTTCAAGTGAAATTTTAGAGCGGAGTAGTTGCCTTAGCTTGTGCAGACGGAGATTTAAGGATTTTCGTTTTAATTTTATATGCGTTGCCCAGGTCAGTCTTTTATCTAGATGGAGACCGAGGTACTTGACTGAAGTGCCCATAGGGATTATTTTGTCATTGAGGTAAACGGGGGGAATATTTTTTGGGCTGAGAGTAAAGGTAATATGAGTGGATTTGCTTTCATTTATTTTTATTCTCCATAAGTTAAACCAGTTTTGTAAGTTTGTTAGGTGGTCTTGGAGGTTATTTATGGCAGAGTCTAAGTTATGACTGGATGAGGTTATTGCAGTATCGTCTGCAAAAGTAGCTAAGTTGGTGTTATTTGATTGAGGTAGATCAGCTGTATATATATTGAACAAAGTAGGTGCGAGAATGCTGCCTTGAGGGACGCCTGCTCTTATAGGATGAATATTAGAATACTCTTCCTCACATTGTACTACGAAGGAGCGGTTTGTGAGGAAAGATTTTAAGGTRAGGTATAGTGGAGTGGGTAGAAAGAGAAGTTTATAAAGAAGGCCTTCGTGCCAGACACGATCAAACGCCTGTGCAACGTCGAGAAAAACCCCTGAACAAAAGTTTTTTTGCTCAAGGGAAGAAGCAATGTTGTCAACTATTCTGTGGATTTGATGGAGCGAAGAGTGATTGGTTCTAAAACCGAATTGAGCGTTAGGAATAATATTTTTTCCATTTAAAATTGGAAATCTTAGATTTAAAAAAAAAAAATTTATGAATTTATAGCTTAAAATAATTTGCGAATTATTGTGATTTTTGCGTATTTTGTCAAAATTCAAACTTTGAATATATGAATTTCTTTTATTTTCTACTGCTATTGTAACAATATGTTAAGAGTCTTGTATTAAATTTTCAAGCTTTTCTACCGAACAAATAAATTTTTATCGATATTAATTTAATAAAAACTAATAATGATTGAAAATTGCAAATATAAAATACTTATGAATAATTCAACTTAAGCTTAAAATTGCATGGTGGATAGAATATAATTTTCATGTATTTCATTTGTATTAAAGTTACATAAAAAACCAAAATCGATTTTGTTGAAAATTGATTGTGCGTAAAATTTACCGTTTTACCCTTAATTTTTAGTTTGTTTATCCCGATTATTTAGAAAAATATTAAGAATTTTTTACTTTTGACCCCCCATAAGTCTCAAATAGATTCACTTTCTGATCGAACGAGGTACTAAAGTCAAAAATCGAAGCACTTTTACTGCCCCAAAAAGTGATGACAGATACAAAAAATTAAAAATAATAAACAAAATAAAAACACATTATGGTAAAATCAATACATTCATCGCTCTGCTCAGAATCTAAAATCCAAGGCTGGGCAAGTTAATGATTTTTTTTTAACTCAGTTAAGTTAATATGAGCCAATAACAAAAAGTTAATTTAATTATAGGTTAACTCAGTTAAGTTAGAAATTTATTTATTTTTATTTTATTTAGTTAAAAAAAAAATTAAATTTTTTCTACGTAAACTTTATTATTTTACAAATCCTGAAATCCCAAAACTAAATTTTGGACTATAACTATAGAAACATTTTTATACTTAATACAGCATATTATTGTATTTCATTGAACTTTTCATTTCTAAAAAAAAGAACAATAATTACATATATATAATAACTAATAAGTAATAAATACCAAAAAATAATGAATTGGTTTTTGTTTATTTTTAGTCTTGTTTGATTTTTTCCCGAAATGATGACTTCAGTTGTCACTCGTTGACAACAATAATATGTTAATATTTTATTCATGAAAATGAAATTGACTGAAATAATGAAATGTAAAAAATTAACTTAACTTCTTCCGTAAAATGAAAATCAACTCATTAATTTCAAGTTAATTAAAAAATAAATTTAATAAGTTAATAGTTAAGTTAAGTTAATGAATATCCAAAAGTAACTAGTTAAGAGGACGTTTCACCCGCATGTATTGTCTCCGTCTTACAAGTGCGTAACATTGCAAAAACTGTTTCACACGGGAAACGACCGAGAAAGATACAGTTATAACTAAGTTACAAAATTTTCACCACATAAAGAGRAGAATTTTGTCTGTGCAATATCGTTTTTATTTTTTCAATATCAGAACTACAAAAAAAGTTATTCATGTTTAAAAAACACAAAATTAATGTATTATAAAACAATAAGAATTTTTTTTGTATAAGTTATATTGAAAAAATAAAAACRATATTACACAAACAAAATTCTCCTTTTTATGTGGTGAAAATTTTGTTTCTTAGTTATAACTGTATCTTTCCTGGTTCTTTCCTGCACAAAACAGTTTTTGCAATGTTACGCACTTGTA